AAAGGTCCCGGGTTCGAATCCGGGTAGTGACTGAAAAATTTTCTTCTCTAAATGTGTCTCCTTTCACCTCCTTTTCTGCTCTATAGCAATGCTCTGTCGTCTGCTTTCGTCTCCTCTTTCTGCCCCCACTTCCTCTTCTCCTTTACCCCCCTCCTCTGGGCTCCTGATTCTTTCTACTGCTACTCCTTGGCTTCTTCTTACTGCTGTCTTTCAGCCACACCCTTGATCTTCTGGTAGGAAAGATCTACACCTAGCCTTCTCGGACAAGGGTGAAAAATCTTGGAGGGCCCGTGTGCAAGTTGCGCACGTTAAAGATCCCTTGGTGGTCTAAAATCGATAAGAGTAGGCTTCGGCCGCCATCCGGGCAAAATTCAAAATTTCCTACCAACCGAAAAAGTTAAATGTGTCCCGCGCGCTCATATGACCTTAGGCTTGTGCCACACTGCAAGCAGAGCGGGCACAGCAGAGCGCAGCAGCGAAAATTATTACAAAGACAAAGAGGCGACTGGCTGCGCGACTCGAGGCGGGTCAGGTGCAAAGAAGGCGGTTTATTTATTGGCTCACGTCTGCACGCACGTTGTTGTTAAGTGTCAATAAAAGAAATATATAACAATCAAAAAGAGGGGGGAAAGAGTGGGGGAAGAGAGGGGAGAGAGTGGGGGAGAGAGAGAGAGAAGAGAGAGAAAGAGACAGAGAAGGGGAGGAGCTCGAGAGAAAATGAGAAATGAATGAGTGTACACAAAGGGAATGTTTTAGAGAACAATGAACAGGTACATCTTGTATTCGTGCTCAGGCGTGTCCTGCGTGCAAATGTGAGTATATTTTCAAGCTTTGCGAACTAAGATAAATAAACCCGATTTAACGGCGCTCGAAAACGTTCGAAATTTACTCACTTCTGCATGCAGAACACGACTGAGCGCGCACACAGTCTTGACAGCGTGCACAAACTCTTGACAGCGCGCAAGACGCATGATCAACTCACATTCAGGACAATAACAACAAGAAAGGACAAAGAAAGTAGATAACGGTAATTGAAACTGATATGAAAATACAATTCCACACGACGCTGCATTGCAACCGCGCCCGCTCCGCTTTGCTTGCACTTGCAGTGTGGCCACCCAGTGTTTGCGCCTCAAGCAGCTGAGTGCAGCATTGAAAATTAATACAAAGACAAAGAGGTGACTGGCTGCGCGACTCGAGGGGGGTCAAGCGCAAAGATGGCGGTTTATTTACTGCCGCTGGCTTAGCTTGAAATTTGCTCACGTCTGCACGCATGTTGTTGTTAAGTGTCAATAAAAGAAATAGATCTAGATAAAAATCAGAGAGAGAGAGGGGGGAGAGGTGGGAGAGAGAG